AAAGGACCACAAATAGCATTCAATAAATGAATTCATGTCTATAGCACCCACACAAGCAAGGTTGTAGTTAACAGCCATATTGGTTCTGTGCATTCAGAAATCCAACATACGATGGCGATATTTATATTTACCTCTAATATAAGCAATTATTGTGGGTGCCGGGGCTGAATTTGGTGCTGAAACAGGCATTTAAGAAAAATTCACTTTTCCAGCTACACTTGTTGTAAATGATGTTTCCTTACAAGGGCCCAAATTGCTGAGCAAATGGTTACCACCTACCAAGTAAGGACTGTGAGGTTCTCAACATCAATGCCAGGGTCCATGAAACTCAGTTTTAGTTCTAAAGATACTAAGTATCTTGAGGGAGATATTATGAACTCCACTCACTGTACAAGGCTGGAAGCTAAGCATGGAGGAAGGAAGATTAACCACTGGGTCAAGCTTAATTGTATCCATCAGCAGGAGGGGGAAGGAGAAGTATGTTAAAAAGCAAACAAAAGATAGTTAAATATTTGCTATGATTAACTTTACTCCTAAAGAACTATTTACAATTAACTAGAATTGTCCAAGTCTTGTAATAATGAAAGAAAAACAACACTGAATTCTTAATTCTAACCCCATTCAGATTATTTTGTTTCTGGAAAGCTAAATAGAAAAAAACAATGAATGCCCGATTCTATGCCTGCTTGAATAAGATCAGTCTCCGTTTGACTTCCTTTTCTTTCCTTCTTTTCTTTTTCGGGGGGGGGGAATGATTAGAAAAATGGAAGATCAAGTTTAGTTTTAAAAAATGAAATATGCTTTTTATAGATAAACATCAACCAAGGCGTGCTCCCCAGCCTCAGGTTCCACGCTGGTATACCAGTTTCAGAGCTCTTTCTCCTCACCCATATTGACCATATGAGAACTTCCTCATGCTAAGCCTGACGGAAGGTACCCAGGACTAAAAGAACATAGAAAAGAGGTATGTGGTCTCTAGGAGCTACTAATAATCTAGTTATTTAAAACACACTTTACAAACTTGGAGGACTAAGTGCTGAAAACATGAGAGGTAAGATCATACAAAACCAAACCAAACCCCTTATCTGTGTATAACAATTAATCTTGATTTTCAAAGCTATGGAATTTAGTTAACTGAAGGGGATTCTCGCTTATTTATTTATTTATTTATTCATTCATGCTATCTTTATCATTTGGTTCAAGTACCTCTGTTTATAAGGTTCACCATCATTTTAGGTTTTTACTTCTTAATATTTTGTCCAAATAATAATGTTTCACTTAGAAGTGAATGTGTACATGCAGAATCTTTTATGCTTTAATAACCCAAAATATTAAAAATGTAATGAATTTATGCCAGTCTGATTCCAGTTAAAATGACAGTGTGGAAGAGTAATGTCTCCCACTATGGATAGAGGCTTCTAGAAATTAACAATTGGGGCAGGGGAAGGCCATGGAATCACTTACAGACATTTAGCAAAAAATACCAAATCTCTTTTCTCTTTTGCTAAGTGTGTGTTTCTTGAGCAGTTTTCTTTACATCTATCTCCTGTCTCCCTTCTGCACCAAAACCAGTGATCTCGAACCTTTAAATCTTGGTGTTTTGTGCAGCATCCAGCCGTGAATCCTCCTGATGGAGAGAAATCCCTGCTACTATTCACTTATTTTTATTCAACAGGCATGGGATCAGAATTTTTAATTAAAGTCCAGAGGTATTGTAAGCTGAAATTCACCAACTCTTTAGTTAAAGAACCACGACCCCTAGATAAATTTCCATTCAAGGGACACAGTCAGCACTCTGCTGCTTTTCATTTCTCATCATATCATATACTCACTGATAGTCAGATACAAACAGTCAAGAGTAGAATAAATATACAGTCTTAACGCAGGTAGTATTTTACAGAAAATTATAAACTGCCATATAATGAACCTTCTCAACACCAATCAGGAAAATTTTTCAGATTACTTGAGATTCAGTGTAAACATGAAGAGTTCAAGGTAACGGATAAATGCCCACGTGTGTATATTGCCAATGATTTTCTCTCATATAAAGTCTTCATATTTCCAAATGACATAGGAATCTAATCTCTTTTATTGGCACACTAAAAAGGATCCAAACCTCAAAACAGGTGAAAAATTCAGTATTTCACTATCACAAACTCATTCATCCCCAATAAGATTCTAGCCCTCATGATACCTCAGGAGCAGAAGGCCTACATAAACAGCTGGAATTCAAAGTACATCTGAATTTCAGCTGTTTTAATATTTATTTTCTATCCATTTATTTGCTTATTGTTTCCCAACAAAACTCTTTCAAAAATATCTTTTAATGAAGAC